TTGTTTAGGTTTTATGTCTGTCTTTGAATTTTGACTTTTAAAGTGATTTTATTCATTTTTAGTTTAGTCGAACTGATGATGGAGCTGGACTCCGAAACGTTTTCAATATCGATATGGTGAATTTTCTTGGCGTTTTCTTTGCTTTTAAATTCCTTGTGAACTTGCGATATAAGCAGACTAATGATATAAGTACCTAAAATAATACTGTATTTGAAAATCTTAATAGTATAACATCTAAGGCAATTTGAATTGAAGCGTCAATAAGGCGTGTTTTTCTTTACCTGATTCGATTTTACATGCTAACAAATTATACGTTTTCTAAACAACTGGAGATAAGTAACTTGCCAATTCCAATGGTAAAATAATTTATTTGCCATATTTTTTCAGGGTTATACATTAAGGATCTGTCCGAAACGTAACTAAAATTTGAACTTATCAGTAAAAAATAATTAGAACTTCTTCAATGGAAATTATTCTGAAGGCAATGGCCTATTTTTGGTTAAATTTAAAGGAGCTGAGAACACTGCAGAGTTTCATTCCTTAATTAATACTCTTAAATCTCGACCCTAGACTTAATAGTGCGCATCTTAGTAATTGTTGATCCGATTTGTCTTTAATTAAATACTAAAAATGTTATTTTACGCATTATTTATGCATGTTCCATCTTTATTCATCTGTATTTATTCAATGCACTATTCATTTAAAGTAATTAGTATCAATCTTTTGAGAATAGAAGTTTGTACGATTAATGCGTATGAGCCATGACCTGTCAGGTGCATGAACAAAAAATATAACTCAGTACTCACTGCAGTGAGTGACAGAGAGCGCATTTTCTCGTCGACGACGACTTGAGGTCACGGACGGACAGACGGACGGACGGACAGACAGACAGACAGACGGACATGGCGAGTACAATAGTGCATTTTTTTCATAAATGAGAAAATGCGCTAAAAATATTATACAAATCAAACCCCAACCAATGATTGATGTGGTATAATCACAGAGACCTAAGAGATATTTACATTTTTCATAATGCAAAGTTTCACCGTAGGTCGAGCAAAGTATATATTATACTCAAACTACATGTTTGCTCCAGTCAAATCCTTTCTTATATTTTAAAATATAGGCTGCAGCTCAAAGTTTAGGGTTATTTTACAATATAGGAGGCTGACTGACGTTGACCAGAAAAACTTAGGCAAATCTCAACATAAGTTATCGAATATTTTTCGCACACCTAATCACTGACTTAAGATGGATGGTGAGGGTGTGATATATCAAACTTATAGAACCAGCGCTTGCAACAAAATAAAGAGCACTCCAACTATAGAAAAGAATGTGATTACATATCAAGGCAATGGGCAGACAAATTTATATTAAAAATTTACAGTTAAAATTTCAAGACAATCGACAACCGATTCTCTGTCTGAAATATACCGTGTTTAGGCTACGTAAAACCCAACTATATTAATAAAAATATTGCCTTGTAAAACACCACTGCATACTTCCGTTTCTCTTCGTGATTATGAGGATACAAATATACATCTCTGAAACAATAATCGATGCATATTGAAATTGCCGTGACATGAATGAAGCGAGACATGAATTGGCAGTGGCACAAAAAAATGTTATATTTTGATACAAATTGGATTCACTTTAATGTTACGTTCATTTTTTACCAATTTGAGACAATAGTTTTTTTTTCTTCATATATTAATAAATTACCAACGATAACATTTAGGATTAGTTATAGTGAATCTGGATAATAGTTTATTCTTATTTTCAGCCAAACAAAAGTTTTTGGTAACTAAAGTAATTTTGAACTATAACTTGAATTGGATATAATACTATTGGATGATGTTATCAAGTTATTATATCTTTATGATTACAATGAATTTTGACTATACTTTCAATGACATTTTTGACGCACAAAATTCATCGTTTACTTGGCAAATTTATAAGTAATATTTGTACGTAAATGTATTGATATGAGAGCATTAGCCAGGTTTAGATGTAATTAATTAATTTCTATCCGCTTGATTGGAAAATCCACACAGATTCTGCTAAATATTATTTATTTTTCAAACGTAACAGAAGAATAATCTGGAACTAATGCGGGTACATATTCGTTCTTCGTCACCTGAATAAGTTAGTCATCGCAATGATTTGGCTACCTCAGATATAAAACTTTATATGAGGAATAATGATATATCCTATCCACTTCACAGGCGATTAACCAACTCATTTCACACATTGAAAAGCTTCAGGATTTAACTTATTTCAATCATACAATAAATGTAAGATGTTAGATGTGTAGAAATTTTTTTATTTAATTCTTCGTGATGCGGGAATGTTTTTGATGATGAAGAAATCTAAGCGTGGAAATCACTTACAGCAAGAAAATTTCCTGTAAACTGAATTAATATGATTCAAAATGTGTTGATATCACAGTTAAAATGCACATATGAAAAGTAACCTCACTAGACGATTTTATATTGCTTAAAGGATATATTATGGCACATTTATTGAGTTACCGAAATAAATAGTTTCTACGTATAAAGAAAGCTCATACGAGTCAAGTAGGTGTCCATCTTATCGAACCAATATTAACTCACCGTGATGAACGTGTCTTCTTCAGCTAAAATTACTAAATCATCTCATTTGCACGGCACTTAATATAATAAACAGAATTGAACCAATTTCATCACTGATGACCGCGAGTACGCAACAGCACCTCACAACACGTGGCGTAGCGGGACAACTGAAATAGCCCAGCATTGCCCAATACCAGCATAATTTTCATACTTCACCCCGTGCGCAAGCATGTGATTGGTCTAATTCAATTGATTCGTTCTGTCTGGTGGCTTTCGGCTGCCTATATGATTTTCCAGAAGTGTTGAAGGCTACGTTCCGGAGGGCAGGAGTCATGATAGTCCATTACATCCAGGGCAGTGGTGGTCTTCGGCAGGCTTTCCCACCGCAATACTTACGACTAATTTGTTGAGTTCCTGCACTTCGAAAAAATTAATGAGTATCTGCATACAGCAGGGCAAAAAGACTCAAATAAGGGAAAAAGTGCATCGAAATTTGGACTGAGTCTCACTAATTTATTTTTTGATTATGAAATCACGCCGAGGTAGTGGCATAATGCTCAGGTCTGGAGCGTGCTGAAAACAGCGAGAAAGCTTGGAGAATCCGATGATTACAAGTCAGTTTTTGTGGGTGCGCAGCCGTAGACCAGGGGCCGTATTATCAAAACTTCGTAACTTTTTGTACTTCCGACAAAAAAGTTACGTATTACGTAAGTACACCCTAATTTCGGCATTATCAAAACATTCGTACGTAAGACTTAGCTAAATGCGTACTATCAAAACCATCTGGCCAACTGACCAATCAGAGGCTTTGGATTTGTTTACATTCTGTGAACTTCGATGGCGGGAATCGATGACTTCGATGGTATCGACTATCGAATGCTGTACGTCGGTATTGAGTCGGTATTGCTCCTTGTTGGCTCAGAAAAAGCCGTCCTAAAATAGTTGTGAACTCTTTTTAATAAACAGCGTGAGTTGAAGAAGAAATCTGTGTACGGAGCTAAAAATTATGGTTGGCAGAGATATAAAGTACCGACAAGAAGGAATGAATGATGAGAGTTGGGCGCGAAAGCTTTGCTTTCGCGCTTGTAAAATATAACGTAATATGCATTTGCTTGTAAAGTATAACGTAAAATGAAAACAAAATCAGTTTCTGGCATCAACTCAATTGAATTTTTTCCAATAGGCAATAGCACTGTTTAGCACGATCACATATTTGATCGTACAAATGTTGCACGATCAAGTAGTGGAGATTTCACAAGTAGAACCATCATTTTATGCGTGTACAATCCGCGCTGTTGGATTATTGATAAAATTCTATCACAAGTCAAGGTGTTGTTACTTGCTAGTAAATCAATATTTTCCTATCGCTTCAGCAGACACTCTAAACTTGTGGGGAACTTCACTTACGACATCTCCGAGCAGGCGTACAGTTACGTAACGTATCTTCCCGCCCAAATGTTTTGATAATACCACCTCTAGAGTTACGTCATCAAGTCAGCACTTACGCCACTCGTACGTCGATTTTGCGTACTTACGAAGTTTTGATAATACGGCCCCAGCAAATTAACGCTCAAATCAGCCCTGTAGCCAACATCAACCATCTAAATGCTATAGATATTGTCATCGCGGCACCTAAGCAGCTGTAGTCAATTGACCTATCTCACCACACGAACTTTAAACCAACACTGCTTCAGCACACAAGCTGCTACTCCACATAGTTAACGGTCAATACGTTGTTCTCCAATGCTCTATAACCCATACCATCACTTCTTACACATGCTGTTATCCGGGAGCGCTGCCGTAGCCCAAAAATTTGACTCTTAAATCAGCCCAAGAGCCAATGACAACCCTCTACATGCAATAGAAATAGTCAGCCTAACACATATGCAGCTGTTCTTACTTGCCTCATCTCACCACACCAGCTTGAAACAAGCAATGCCTCAGCCCACAAGCTGATACTCCAAACGGATTACGCCCATGGTTAGGTTAGAATTCTTCCGCAAGCTGGTACCGAAAGGAGGGGGAGCAGGGGGTAAGCGTGGAGGTTTAGCTTCAAGAAGAACGAACAGGCTGGAGAGGTAGCAGTGTACTGATAGCACTGTGGCGCATGGCGCTCTTTATCGAAAGTGGGGAAGAGGTTAGGCTGCATGGAATAGAATTTTTTTAGGGTTTAGCGTGTGGGTTACGACCATTGTTTTGGCGGCTTGCAGCTCATTGGCTCGCTGGTTTACATCCATGAAGGGATTTAGTCCTTGTGGCTTTCATCAAGTAATCATGTTGGCTAATTTGCTCTGCAGCATGCTTACGCACGGGGTGAAGTATGAAAATTATGCTGGTATTGGGCAATGCTGGGTTATTTCAGTCGTCCCCTGTTATCCTAAGTGTCCGCTGACCACACTGCGTTGTCGCAAATGTGAACTGTACCAAACGGTAATGCGTCATCACCTTACTTAATCCGCAAGACGTTAACCCCGCGTCACTGTTTCCCTGCCTTACTATCCCCCAGCATCCTCTTCCCCCACACTTACCCCGACTCTCCACCAATATCGCATGACTAAAGGCCGGTCCACACGCTCAGTTTTCACAACGATTTGTCTGCGCAGTTTTAAGTCGGAATGAAATCGTTGCAATTTTTAGAGCGTCCACGCGGTGCCGACTTATCTGAGTAGTTTGCTCAGTTTTGCGCGATCTCGCCATGGAGACGTCTCGGACAAATTTTACGACCGGTCTCCCTAAATTCGGTGAACATGGAATATCTCCCAAAGCAATGAATGTAGCTCGATAATACTTGGTACACGTATTCATTAGGACTTAACGGCGATGTTTAGCTCGTGAAAATTTTTAGAATTTCACCTTCATTCGTGAGTTTTATGACGATAAGTGCCGAAATTTGCAGTGAGCATGACATTTCTTCTTAACTACTGTACAGATTTGAACGAAACTTTGAATATAGAAACCTAACCTTCCAACGGCGATGTTTAGCTCGTGACAATTTTTTACATTAGATAAAGCCTTATAACTCGCAAACGAAGGCAAAATCTAAAAAAATTGTCACGTGCTAAACATCACCGTTAAGTCCTAATGAATACGTGTACCAAGTTTTATCGAGCTACGTTCATTACTTTAAGAGATATTCCATGCTCATCGAATTTGGGGAGACCGGCCGCGAGTCAGGCCGTAAATTTATCCCAGACGTGCCATGGAGAAGGCAGTATTTTGATCAATTTTGGCATTGTGCCTTGTGAAAAGAGAGATTGGATCATTTAGGGAATGCGAGGAATCAAAATACAAGGGAGATGGCTTGTAGATGTCTTTTTTCCAGGTCTAGATGGAATCGATTTTTTTATTCATTCCCAATTATTTACGGTAAATGCTCCCCAACTTATTTTACTGCTGTTTCTCTGTTTGCGCTTTCATCGATTTCTTTGAATTTTTCTACTAAGCCATCGTATGTCTCCACTTTTTTTTGTCCCTGTTACTATAGTCCTTGAATTTTACTCGCCAAATGCAAGAAAAACTTTCGTATAGAAGAGCAATAAATTCCCGAGAACATTACCGAAGGTGCGCCGTTGTCGCCAGACGAGTTGCAACTGGCATAAATCGAATCGAGAAACTGTGCTACCGTCCACACGTTCCGACTTGTCTGCGCAGTTCATCGAAATCTATGCTCTGGAGCTCAGATTTCGATGGAACTGCGCAGTTTTCCCGCCGGCTTCAAAACTGCGCAGTTTTCCCGTCCACACGCAACGTTTTATCTGCAACGATTAGAACTGCGCAGACAAATCGTTGTGAAAAACTGAGCGTGTGGACCGGGCTTTACTGGAGGCTTTTTCTCGCAGACCTTTGATGCTTATCCGAATTAGGTTAGGTTAAGTTAGGTTAGGTTAGTTTACAACTCCTATAGATCCTCTTTTCATAGCGTAATGCAGTCAAGTGAGCAGAAACTAAGACAAGCCGTCCGGCAGTCAGTGAAAAAAGGCGGGGAGACGGGGTATGCGTGGAGGTAGAGTTATGCCGGGGGAAAACAGCTGCGACGAACGGACGGGCTGGAGTGCTGGCTGTGTATCAACAGCGGTATGGCGTAGGGAGTTCCTTACCGAAAATCGTGATTAGGTCAGACGGCATGGGATAGAGCTGTTGGACGTTTTTCAATACGGCGTAGAGCGATTGTATTGGTGGCTTACTTCTCGTCAGCTCGCTGGTTAATTTCCATGAAGGGGATTTGTACTATTGGCTATTAACATATAATCCCTTAGTCTACTCTGCCCTTTAGCAGGCTTACGCACGGAAAGGAGGATGAAAGATATGCTGGTCTTGGGCAATGCTGGCCTCTGGCATGCATCCCGTTTTTGTAAAGAAAGATTCCACCCCCTTGGAAAGGGCGGTTTTTCGCAAGTGGCAGGAGAGAATCAGGCGGAAAGGCACGGAAAATCAGGTCAATCACTTCCAAGTTGCCAAGACAACACCGGCTGCTCACGGACAGTCAGATTAGATTGAGGACAAGTAATTAGTAGGAATGATGTCCGTAGATCAAGGCCTGTAAATAATGTAGGAAGTAACCGCATGCATCAAAGTGAAAGTGCACAAAAAGTTTTAAAATTTTTTTACACGAACTCGGATTCCGTTTTGAACAAGAAAATTG